AAATCATAAACATCAAAATACTGTCATAAATTAGTAAAGTACAGATTTCATTAAGTTAATGTTTTTGATTGAGGGGCCTGTTTGCATTTCGATTTGACTCAAAAGAATTTATTATCACCTTTACTGTAGTTTTGTTTTTTGTTTTTTGCTGGTACTGAGAGTTGAGCACAGGGCCTTTCATTCTTTCTTGGATATTTCTTTCAAGGCTGGAATTTTATCATATGAGCTCCACTTTTGGCTTTTTGGTGGTTAATTAGAGATAAGAGTTCAGGAACTTTTCTCCCTGGGCCAGTTTAAAACTGTGATCCTTTTTTTTTTCTTAAATTTTATTTTATTTTACTTTTTTGTGAACATACTGTACAGAGGGTTACAATTACATGGACAGGATAATGCGTACATTTCTTATCAAGCATTGCAGCCTCCTCCTTCCCAGCAGGCCCCCGCCCCCCCCCCCCCGCACCAACTTTGTAAAGCTCGTTTTTGACATGACAACTTCTACTTCTCATTGTTACCACAGGTCCACCTTTATCCTTAAACGACTTGTTTTTCCCCATCTCCTCCACAAGTTATACTGACATCAAATATAGTGAAAGAAGGGGTTATACTGTGGGGGAGGGACATACAAAGCTACAAAGAGATAATCTTATAAATGCCTTAGAAACAAATGCACGAAAGAAAAAAAACATTAAAATACATATCTAAGGGTTCATTTTCCTAACATCACATTATCTGACCTTTTCCGCTTGACTCATACATATACTAGATATTGCAAATAAGGGAAACCATGGGACCTATGTTTCTTTGGGCCTGGCTTACTTCACTTAATATAATTTTTTCCAAGTTTTTCCATTTCATAACAAATGGGGCAATGTCATTCTTTCTGATGGAGGCATAGAATTCCATTGTGTATATATACCACATTTTCTTGATCCATTCGTCTACTGAGGGGCATCTGGGTTGGTTCCAGATCTTAGCTATGGTAAATAATGCTGCAATAAACATAGTTGTGCTGGTAGCTTTAGTGTGGTCTTGTTTGTAAACATTAGGGTAAATGCCCAAAAGTGGGATTGCTGGGTCATAGGGGAGCTCTATGTGGAGTCTTTTGAGGAACCTCCATACTGCTTTCCAAAGTGGTTGATCAAGTTTACATTCCCACCAACAATGAAGTAAGGTTCCCTTCTGTCCACATCCCCTCCAGCATCTGTTGTTGTTAGAGTTCTTGATTTTTGGCATTCTAACTGGAGTGAGGTGGTATCTCAATGTTGTTTTGATTTGCATTTCTTTTATGGTTAGGGATGTTGAGCATTTCTTCATGTGTCTATTGGCCATCCTTCTTTCTTCTTCAGCGAAGTTTCTCTTTAAGTCTTTAGCCCACTTATTTATTGGGCAGTTGTTTCTTTGAGGATTTGTTGTTGGGGGATTTAATTTTTTGAGTTCCAAGTATATTTTAGATATGAGACCCTTGTTTGTTGTATGGCTAGTGAAGATCTTCTCCCAATTCGTGGGCTTTCTATTGATCTTGCTAGCTATGTCCTTTGCCATGCAGAAGCTCTGCAACTTTATGCAATCCCATTTGTCCAACCTTTCTTTGATTTGTTGTGTTTCTGGGTCTCTATTCAGAAAATTTCGGCCGGAGCCAAGGAGACCTCGGGTTTCTCCTATTCCATCCTGTAATGTTTTCAGAGTGTCTGCTTTGACTTCGAGGTCTTTGATCCATTTGGAGTTGATTCTGGTGCAGGGTGATATATAAGGATCTAGCTTTAGTTTTCTACAAGTAGTTAACAAATTTTGCCAGCACCAGTTACTGAAGAGGCTGTGTTTCTTCCATTCTATTATTTTAGCTCCCTTATCGAAGATTAGATGGCTATAGGTCTGTAGGTTCATTTCTGGGTTTTCTATTCTATTCCATTGGTCCTGATGTCTGTTCTTATGCCAATACCAAGCTGTTTAGATTACTATGGCTTTATAGTAGAGTTTGAAATTTGGTATTGATATTCCTCCAGCAGTGTTCTTTCCGTTGAGGAGCGTTTTTGCTATTCAGGGTCTTTTATTGTTCCATATGAATTTTTGGATTGCCTCTTCTATTTCCTTGAAGAATGAGGTTGGAATTTGGATAGGTATTGCGTTGAATTTGTAGATAGCCTTGGGAAGTATTGCCATTTTCACGATGTTAATCTTTCCAATCCAGGAGCATGGGAGGTTTTGCCATTTTCCAAGGTCTGTCAAACTGTGATCCTTAGAACTCAACCTCTTGAGTAACTAAGATTATAGGTTTGAGCTACCACCACCTGGTATAGTTTGAACTTACGTTTAGAGCATGTAGACAATAATTATTTGGAGGACTTTTTAAACAATAGGGAGAAATTTGGATATTGTAAAAATTTGCCATTAAGTGGTCTCTTGATTTTTATCTATTTTCTTTTAATAATCAGTGAATAGTATGAGTAAAACACTATAGATTAGGGAATTTAAGAAGTTCATTTATACTGGCTAGTTGCTTACATGTGATTTGCATAGGCATGTTAATTATTTTTTTATGGGAATGACTACAGAACCAAAGTGAAAAACGTTGTTTATATTGTGTTGTAGCCTTGATATTAGGTAATAGAAACCTTTTAAACTAGATATTTATATATATTAAGCTCAGAAATACTATATCTCATAAGGAAATAACTCAGGAAAACTATAAATTTAGTATATTGTTATTTGTCTAACTATATTCTAAATGCATTTGCCTAAGTAGTCATTAGTTTAATACAATCTCACTTGTTTTCCATAGGTAAAGACATAATGTTGTGCTGTTTAAGTTAAAGTAGATCTAATCAGATATAAATCACCTTCTAAAGGAAATTTCTTAAGAACAATATAGTTATTATCCTTTGCTGAAATTAAGAAACTGAAGTGCCAGTGTCTTGGTTTTGAATATTTTATTTCCATTATAACAAAAATGTGTCATAAAACAGAAAAGGTTTTATGCACAAGTGTCTATTTTTCCATAGCTTAACTTCTTATTAAATATAAGTATTATAAGAAAGAATCATCCAAGGGTAGATGTCAGTGGTAGCTCAGGCCTGTAGTCATAGCTATGTAGGAAGCTGATATGTAAGGATAAAGGTTCAAAGCCAGTCCAAGCAGATAAAAAGCCTATGAGATTTTTTTCTTAATTGTCAAGGTGATATACAGAATTGTTGTAGTTACAGAAGTAAGGTAATAAGTGAATTTTTTATTTAACTTGTTGCATATGGAAGTGTAGCTGTTGCTCAAGTGGTAGACTGCCAGACCTGAGAGAGGGGGGGACAGTACCTATGCTCTGAATTCAAGCTTTAGTACCAACACACAGACACAGACACAGATACAGACACACACACAGACACAGACACACACACACACACACACACACAATACTAATGTATCATTGTGATCTTCTGCTTCAAAGTACTTGCTATCTCCAGCAATTATTCTTATTTAATAAATTCAAATAAATAAATTGTAAATATTTGTTATCATATTCTCATAGCTGTTAAAATGATGGTATGAAGCCTAAGGAATACTCTTGTATTTTTGCCATTAATATATTAATTTATTCAGCAAAATTTACTTAAATTCTTTCTGTGTACTATACCCAAATATTGTTCTGTGTGTTGGAATTGTGAAGTGAAGAATCCTAACAAGGTCATTATTCTTAAAGAACATATATTTTTTGTATACAAAGACAGTAGAAATGTTCACCAATAAAATAATTTTTGAGCCGGGCACCAGTGGCTCATGCCTGTAATCGTAGCTACTCAGGAGGCTGAGATCTGAGGATCTCGGTTCAAAGCCAGTCCGGGCAAGAAAGTCCGGGAGACTCTTATCTCCAATAAACTACTAGAAAACCAGAAGCGGTGTTATGGCTCAAGCAGTAGAGCACTTGCCTTGAGCTGAAGAGCTGAGGGACAGCACCCAAGCCCAGAATTCAAGCCCCACAACCGACAAAATAATAATAATAATAATAATTTTTGATTACGGTGTTTTTGGAAAAAAGGTTCATACTATAGTATAGAGTAGGTGGGGAAGGCAGCTACTTTAGTTTTCTGGACCATCAACTATATTAGGTACTAGTATAATAAGTTTTTGTAGTAGCAGCTGAATCATGTTCTTTGCCCATTGGAATTTATTTTTAACATTATTGGTTATTCCAAAAATTTATTCAGCAATTAAAAGAATGATAAAACTTTTATATGTTAAAAATGAAAAATAATTTGAGGGAGTATAATAATGAGTTAAGCTGTTAGCATACAAAGGAATTAGCAATATTAGAGTGTGTGTGTGCCTGTGTGTCTTTCTATGTGTCTTTAGTGATGAACATGCTTTTCTTTTTACAAATGTATTATTTATTTTTCTGAGATTTCCTGGTTTCTCTTTACCTCTTTAGTTGATTATTCTTTTCCTTGTTTCTGTTTATGAATAATTTTGATTTTCATGTTTCTCCTCATATGAGGCCTATCCAGAAGTGGAAATTTTAGTGGTTGCTTATGAAAATTCATAATTCAAATTTCCTAGCCCATTTTAGAACTTCCCAAGGGTTTTGGAATTAATCTGATCTCAGATTGGGCAAGAAATGGACTTTTTTTTGTAACAGAGTAAAAGTTTTGCTTTTTATTTTTGATATACAAAGAACTACTAGTCATATTGATTAATTGAAACCATGATGATTACTAAGTAAAAACATTCAACTCTTATCTTTTAGGCACATTTCCTATTTTATAGCATTTCACATGGAATTCTTGGCTCACATTCTTGAATTATTTTATAGTAGTTTCTAAGCACTTAATGGCATAACCTATGCAAAGATCATTGTTAGTAGTTGAATATATTCAATATTCTTGGTAAAGTTTTAATGCCACCATATATTTGATTTACAGTTTGATTCCAAATGTTTTATTATGTGATGGAGCATTAACATTTTGGTGAACTTAGGTTCAGCAGGTTTCAAATTTTATTTTATTTTGATTTTTCAGATTGCATTCTCACAACACAATACAATCATGGATCTTGTGCAGTTTTTTGTCACCTTCTTCAGGTAATTTGCTTTTACTGACTTTTGACCTGTTAAGGCCATATGCTGGTATATATTCTGTCAATCTGTTAAACAAATTATCAATTACCTAACCTTACAATGTGTGCTATTTTTTTTATTCGTGTATTTTCCTCCTTCCCATCCTGTACTAGAATTCCGATTACCTTTTCCAGAGAGGTCTGCACATATTTTCTGTTAAGAGCCAGTCCATACACGTTTCAAGATTTTTTATCTGTATAGTCTCTGTTACATCTATGAATCATTCTTGCTTTAATACAGAAGAAATTAATGACAGTATGGAAACAAATGGAAAAAGCAGTGATCCAATAAAATTCTTATTATGAAACATCTGGTAGGCTGATTTTGGCTTTTGAATATAATTTGCCCAACTTGTGATCCAGCTTATGACTTAAATCCTTTATTGAATACTACAGGTAGCATTTTCTATTATTAGATAATTTTTAACTGAGATTAATTTTCTTATAATATTTCTTTTAATTCACCCATATGGGTCCATACATAATATGTTTACTTTCTCAACCGTACATACACTTTCAGATTTTTAAATTTAGTTCTTCGATTTACTTATTTCCTATTCATCTATCCATTTTTCTTTTACATATTAGTCACTTGTTATAAAATAATTTATGTTAAAAGTTTTTACTTTTCAGAACTTAATGTAATAGTTACCATTAATATTTGTAAACAATGTATTCATACTTTTTTTGTTTTCTCATTCTATTATTTATTATTACATAGTGGTACAAAGGAGTTTCAGTACCAGAACTCAGATTATGAATGTAATGAATCTTGATCAATGATATATCACTAATATTTTATATTGTTTCTTAAAGACAAAACTTGAGAAACATCTTTTTAGTATATTTACATTTTATATTTTATACTTATTAATAAAATGAGTTTAAGGTTATTAATGAAGATATAATGTAATTTTAGAGAGCACTAGAAGTTACAATTACATGAGCATTATTTAATAAATGGAGATAAAACAACTTTTTGATGTAAAATAGTATTGGTAGAAATATAAAATTCACTTATGTATAAAATTCATGAAGTTGAATATATATGTAAATATTTAAATGTTTAGGGTTTTATTTTAAGCTTCTGAATCTGTGTGCATATTTAAGTAATAACTCTTTTATTAAACAAAATAAAGCTAGTATTAAAGTGCACCATGTCTTAGAGATGATCCTATTTATTAAGTTTTCATCTTGGACAACATGAAGTAAAATATTCTAGTCATTGTATGAGATCAAATGTATTTGATAGGCCTTTTGTCATTTAAATTTCTTCTAGCAGTGAAATGTAAATTAGGTAATTTAAAAACCATTTCATTGTTAAGAAAAAACATGAAGAGAATATTTTAAGTTTTATTATTTATTTTTTAAAAGGCCACTGCTAAATTGTAAAAGTTTTAAACAGGGAACATTTATGGATGTCACTCTTCCATCAGGCCATCTAATCCAGCTATTAGGGTACCAGAGGTGAGTGAATGTGTCAGATTTTCAGTTTAGTCATAGTTCTATGGGTATTAGTTATCCAACTCTGTCAGGTATTTTACTTCTATATTGTGGACAGGTTTTTTTTTGTGGTAAATCTAACTGGGCCAGTACTAAGAGATAATTTATAGGTATAGCTTGGTTCTGATCATAGTTTTTTTTTTTTTTCTGTCACCTTAAGTTACCTGATTTCTTCAGAGTTCCATTTCATATGTAGAATTAAAGGGCTTTTGTTATTGTTCTTGTTAAGAGTATGTGACATAATACCATAAATTACTACTGAAGCAAATTATTTTCAAGTAGTTTTTATTATGTGAAATGGAAAACTATGTCTGAATCTGAAATGTCAGAATTAATTCTTCTAATGGAATAGTTAAATGGAGGTTTGGTTGGTAATTTTTAATGCTGACAGTAATTTTCACTGTACCACTAGGAATAGTTGCTATATTTGTCAAGTAGATACAGTTTGAGAAGTTGTACTTGGTCTGTTAATCTTACCTGAAATGACAAGGATATAATGTAGTGGTTACTCCAACTACTTTGTATATCGATTTTAATTATATATTTAATGATGGAATTTACTACTGTATGGATTCATGGATACAATTAAACCATTATGAGCCACAATTGAGCCTTTTCTTCCCTTTCCCCAAATCTCCTTATAATAAGAGGCTGTGATTACATTTGAATTCTTAGTTATCTGTATTGTTTCTGACCTCTTGTGTAATAAGGTTCAAATTATTGCTTTTTCCTCTTACATTGTATATTTACCAATGTGTACACATCTGTATATATGGAAGCATATGGTGTTAAATCCCTTTGGGGATCATTTTACACACAGTTTTTAAGATATTTCTGAATTAGTCCTTTTTGGCTTCATCCATCTGTTTAGTTGATGGATTCTAGATTTTAAACTGATTTGAGGATTATGGCTTTCTATTAAAGCAACTACTCAGCCTCCTGTTCCTTCATTATTACTTAAAACTAGATGTTAAATAGCACCACCTTGGGCTGCCAACCTGCTTTTTCTTTCAGGATACAATCATCCCTACAGATCTTGTGGACCATCCTACTGGCTGCTCCTACAATATTGTTCATGTAATTACAGGAATTGTAGTTTCTGAATTCTGGTAGTTAAATTCTGACAACTGTCCTTTATCACTGTGGGTACCCATCAATTTATAGTAATTAGCATACAGCCCTATATTAACCTTTCCGTTTTCAGCTCTGGTTTGCAGAAGAAAGCTAAAACTAATCTTTATGATGAGTGTCTCTAATGAACATGTTCCTAATGCTCTAAAGTCAATGGTGTGGCTTCTGGGCTCTCCCATGGAGTTTAAGTGTCTGGTAGTAGTTCTGGCTTTACATAGTATGCCAATTCCAGCATACATACTATCTCTTGAAGCTTTATTTCTTTCTCTTCTATCTGTTAGTACAATTCAAACATTTTAACTTTACTTTTTTTTATTCATCATTTTTTTCTTGGCTTTGAGTAATCATTCTAACAAGTTTATATCATCTCCTTGTCTGAAAATATACATTAAACTTCAGGATATATCTCTGGTTTAGGAAAAAATATGTACTAAAGCTGACCATCAGTGGTTTATGCCTAGCTCTTCAGTAGACTGAGATCTATCTGAAGATCATGGTTCCAAGCCAGCCCAGGCAGGAAAGTCTGAGATTCCTATTTTCAATTAAATACTGAAAAAAGCTGAGAAATGGCTCAAAGTGGTAGAGCACTATCCTTTAACACAAAATACCAGGGCCAGTGTTGAGGCCCTAGGACTGGCACAAAAAAATTCACTAAAATCTTATTTATATGGTCTTAAATCCGGTCTTTCTTTAAATTCTACCATGCCCCCAAACTGAACCATATTCCCATTGCTCCTGTTTGGACATGCCGACTAGTTTTCTACTATAAACATCAGGTCAGCACTTCAAACCATATGCATTTTGGAGCATTTCAATTATAGATCGTAAGATTCAATATTCTTAGCCTATAGTAACTGTTGAGTAAACACTCTACATTCTGTGCCTGTTTAGCTATAAGCATATTACTTCACCAGTTTCACCCAGTGATCTTTATTGAGTTTTTAATCTCTGTCAGTGAAACCTAAGTGAGATTTTTAAAAATATATTTGTACCATAATAACATAAATGTATTTAATAAAAACTTAAAAATTGCATTTTAAGTTGGTTAACATTTTTTGCTGGGCACCAGTAGCTTACTCTTATAATCCTAGCTACTCGAGAGTCTGAGATCTGAGGATCGTGGTTCAAAGCCAGCCCAGGCCGGAAAATCCTTGCGACTCTTATCTCTAATGAACCACCAGAAAAATGGAAGTGGTGCTGTAGCTCAAGTGATAGAGTGCTTTCCTTGAGCTGAAGAGTTCAGGGACAACACCCAGGCCCAGAATTCAAGCCCCACAACCAACAAAAAAGAAAAAAAGAAAAAAAGTGAAAAAGAAAAAAAAAAAACAAGAAAACATTTTAATTAGTAAGTAATAGTCTTCAAGTAGATTATCAGTTCTTAACAAATAATTAAAGTAAATTATTTGACATGTATTTCTTCATTAACAGAATACCCTAGTTTCTGATGTTTTCAATGAAATAAAAATTATGTACCCTAACTACTTTTAAAAATTTCAAATGTATTTCTAGCTACTCAAGAGGCTAAGATCTTAGGATCATGGCTCAAAGCCAGCTAGGGCAGGAAAGTCTGTGAGACTCATCTCCACTTAACTGCTAAAAATGTCAGAGGTGGAGCTGTGATTCAAGTGGTAGAGTACTAGCCTTGAACAAAAAATGCTCAAGAACAATGTCCAGGCCCTGAGTTTAAGCCCCATGACTAGCAAAAAAAGTTGGATATTTGAAACCTACAATTGAATACTCAAAAATTGCTATAAAAATGACACTGTTGTCCCAGTTTTTACATTTTGACAACGATATTTCTACCAAAGAATTTTTTGTCACTTAAAGCTGATTTTATGATCTAAACTTGTATCAGATGATGCTACTTTTATTGAAGTATTTTTATTTTTCCCTTCATAATATTAACTTGTAAATTTCACGTTATTTTCTTTTTCACTCAATATTTTTGACCATTTTATGAAGGACAAAATTGGATTTTGAGCATATCTCTCCCTAAGTTTTCATACTCACTCTTTTATTCTGTAGGTAATTAGCTTATATACTTCCTTTCTGTTTTTCCTATTTCCATTGGGAGCATTATACCTGAGGAGTGTTGAACCTTACAAATCTCTTGTCCTACATTTCTATAGCAGTTTCTTTCTTTCTTTTTTTAAAGAAAGTCTAATTATCTGTTCTCCCAATACTTATTCTGTGGAAAAAGCCAATAGAAGCTATTTGTAGTATAAAAGGGAAAAAAAGACCATAAAGAAAGTAGTAAAAACTTAAAACTTGTCCGAAAATTAAATTAAAGCATACTTATTTGATGTTATCTTTTAAAACTTTTAGTCTATAATATAGTATGAGAAAGCAAAAGATAAACCTAGAATCTATCATTTAATGTAATAAAATTTTGCTTCTGCATGTAAAGACAAGCAGGCAGAAAAGAGTATGTAGAACACTGCTCAAAATGGTCGTTCAAGAAGTGTAGGTGGTGAAAATATTGTCATTCTTTAGGATTCTAGGATTACTTTTTATGTTACTCACCAAAGGATGAAAGTAACATTTCAGTTGTGCTATACATACTTGAAAGTCTTCATTTGTGTGTTTGTTTCCGTGTTTTGATTTTAATAGAACAAATATTAAGTTCATTTTAATATTAATTTAAAAATGTCTGTAACTGTTTGTAATGTAATCTCTTGCAAGTCAATGTTGTTTGCCATGTAATCTCTTAGAAATCTTAGAGTGCTTATATAGTATTACTTTGGTGGAAGGATAATATGTCTAATAAATGTCAGAAAAACATTCAAATGAGGGCTGGGAAGGTGGCTTCAGTGGTAGAGTGGTTGCCTTGCATGCATGAGGCCCTGGGTTCAATTCCTCAGCAGCACATAAACAGAAAAAGCTGGAAGTGGTGCTCCAGTGGTAATGTGCAAGCCCTGAGCAAAAGCAGCTCAGGGACAGCACTCAGGCCCTGAGTTCAAGCCCCAGGACTGGAAAAAATATTCAAATGAATTAAAATATTAATCCTATTCATTTAAGAAAAGTTTCTTAACAGCTACTATGGTGTAGGTATTGAGATATATTTTGTTGTGCCTTTAGTATTTACTGAAGACTTAAAATATCATTTAAAAATATTTTGTTAAACTATTGATTTATTAGACAATTTGTTTACATTATCATGATCTCTTTATTGCTAATCTAATAGAAATTAGCCTACAGAATATTTGATATAACTCCCTAAGCATGCATCTCTCTTCAGAATTTATAATAGTTAATACTATTTACTTTATATTGAATTATGATAGATGTGATACTTTTCATGAGTCATGGGATTTAAATCAGATAAGATTTGAGCTCTTGGAGAAATTCATTGTCTTTATCATAACAAGTGAATATCATGCAATTATTTTGGAGGAAATATTGTGATTATCAGTATCAAAATATACTTTGACATTCATAGTTAATCATTAAATATAACTGAATTTTGTTTTAACTGTTGTGTCTACTTTTATAATCATTCTGGAAGAAATATTTGACATGATTTGGTATCTGAGTATAAAGTGACAAAATTAAATGTTTTTACATTTTAATTGTCAGTTACGGTGAAACAAAAAGTCTGGGGAAAGAACTTTCAAGTCAAGACCTGTGAAGCATGAGCTTACTTAAACTCTTTAAAGCTCAACTTTCTGATTTTTTACATGAATACATGACAGAAAATATGTACATTATGTGTGTTTGTGGTAATTGAAGAGTTAATACTTCTAACTTATATACCATAGTGATTGGTATATAGTATTTAACAGATGTCTTTTGCTTTTATTATGAATGATATAAATGTGTTTAGCTTTGACATAACTTTGTATCTCTTCTGCTAATTCTTAAGGTTATGATGATCTCATGGGAATTCATATGGAAAGATCCTCAAACTTTATTGAAAGTATCAACTCTCAGTAGCGTATTTTAACATTTATACTATTAGCCTGACAGTATGAAGGAGTGTAGCCCCTGTGATAATAACCAAGGCTAGAACAGTGTTTCTCATTCTAGGTACTACTAGCAGTTTGGATTGCCAAAACCTTTGTTGTTCAGGCCGTAGGTTATTTAGAACCATCATACAAGATACCCATTGTTATATAATCAAAAATGCCTTTAGTTTTTGCCAGATATCTCCTGGAAGAGTGGTAGGACAAAGCTCTCCTAGTTGAGAAGCACTGGAGAGGAAGGAATCATGTAGTCTTTTTCATACCAAACTTCTTCAGTTATATCTGCAAAACAGAAGTTGGTAACAATTCATAAAATAACATTTTCATAGTTTGATCTGATTTAACATGGTAGGCACTGAGTTGTGTCACCAGTTTCTCAGAAAAAGACTTAAATAGATGTTTCATCACTATTAGAGTTTTCCAAGAGGGAATCTGAAGGAGATAATCTCTTGGATCCTTTTTAATGATAAATCTTGTCATGTTTGACAGAACTAAATATACGATTTGGAAATCTTTCCAAATGAGGTCATAGTTGAAACCATGAGAATAACTGAGGCTTTCTATTTGAGAGCAAAAGAGCTTTGACAAATTAATCGTAAGTTTTCAAGGATGTCCATAATTTCATAGAAGGAATCTGAAATGTAGCCTAATTTTGAAGGCTCTCCTATCCTCAAAAAAGTATTAGAAGAGTTTCAAAGATTGAATGTTTTGTCAATAAATACTTGTTTATTTAATTTGTAGAAAATTCTGATGAAGGAGAGTTGGGGTGGGGTGGGAAAGGGAAAGTGGGAGAAAAACAAGGGAGAGGGTAACAATATTTAATAAGGAATGTACTTATTACCTTATGCATATAACTGTAACCCCTCTGTATATCACCTTGACAATAAAATTTTTAAAAAAGAAAGTTCTGATGAATGTTGATTGAAAAAAATTTCTGAGCAAATTGTCCTCTAAAAGTTTGAATATTATATAAATATTAGTTATTATTAATATTTTTATTAATGTACTCACCAGATAACAGATTATAAAAAATTAAATGAGTAAATTTGAAAGGTTTTTTTGTTTGTGTTACTTACTAGACAATGGGATTATATGTGTATATATTTCAATTGTCCATGTTTTATTTTGTGCTTTCTTTTCCAGTTGTTTTTTATCCTTATTACTTGTGGCTGCTGTTGTATGGAAGATCAAGCAAACTTGTTGGGCTTCTAGACGGAGAGAGGTATTGATAATATTATTTAAAGGTTTGACTGAACACAATGAATCTTTATTTCTTAAATAATACATTTCTTTGGAGTACATTTTAAAAATTAATTTTACTTTTTGTTTTTGAACAGTATTATATTTATAGCTTCAAATTAAACTACCATTGTCAAAATAAGACAGTATCTGATGAAAATTTTGCTAGTTGCTATTTTATTATAGTGTTAAAATTGATTGTAAATACAAATATTGTTAGTTAAATAATCAATTTCTAGGACTTTAGTTATTCTGTAGGGACATAATTTACTGTTTGTTGGTATGTTTTGCATTTTAAAAGAAAGTTTTGAACAATAAACATTTATTTGGGGCTTTAGAGAAAATTTATCTTTTAGAAATTTATTGTACTATTCTTTTGGAGTGAGTATCAATGTTTTTCCATTTCTGATTGGTAATACAACTCTAGTTAAAAAGGTCATTCATTTCATAAGTTACTTTATCAGAATCAATGATGTTCTTACAATTGTAAGATTGATAAAAGCAGTAATACACAAAATGACAACTGATATAAATATTAATATATTTATAGTGATATCAGTGTATACTCTAAGTGCTATACATATATTTATGATGATATATTTGTATGTGTAGATATACATATGTACAACATATATGTGTGTGTGTGTGTATATATATATATATATATATATATATATATATATTAGTTTCTCAACTATGGAGAAAGACCCAGGGAAGCAGTCATCTGAGTGGTGAAATATCTAGTAGATGTATTATTTTCTAACTCATAATGAGAAAGTGATTTCTATTTTCATTACTTTTGTACTCATATTCTGTTTTTACTAATATTAGTATTAATTTTATTTGTACCATTTATAGTATTAACATATCATTTTATTGTGTATTTCCAAGTATATATACTTTTACAAATATAAATTGATAATAAAGATATTTAAAAACAGTCCAGAATATTATAAGCCATAGAATTAGGTATCTTATTTTAAGCACCCATCAAGTCACAGAGCCCACATATAATATATTTTCAAGCCTGAGGTCTTCCATCTGTCTAATAAATTATTTACTTCATTACAGCATTTATGATGCTGTATATGATCAGAATAATATCACTTCAAGTTTACTTGATGTGGCTCCATGATGAAATTAATTCATTTAATAGCAGCTTGCAAAATATTATTTTGCAAGAAGTGCAATTTTTGTGTCGATTAACTACCTTCTGGGCATACTAGATAACCTATTAGAATGAAATTATAAATTCAGGAACTTAAAAAAGTCTGAAGGCAATAGGAAGACCTTCCATAATGTAATAGAACTAATGACAATTTATGTCTGTAGCCATCAGAAAAGAAGACTCTGTAGGGAGGTCTTCCTGCTGCATCCTGACAAGTATTGTCTACATATCTAATCTCTATACTTTATTAAAATGGAACTTTGTAAGTGTAACATTGTGAATGATAAATATTTCTTGGCTATCAGCTGGCATCGGAGTATAAATTGGTAGTCTCTTTGAATTTCCTTATCTCTAAAAAAAATGTTTGTGCTGTATAACCAATTCCCAGTTTGGAATCTTTAGAACTCTAGAGATATTTATGTGTGTTAGTTAAGTTTAGAATCAATACCAGGTATTTAATATTTGGAAACTAATATGAATAGCTCATTTTCTCATTTACTTACTTTCATACTTAAAACCCAAATTTTATTCTTCTTAAAATTGTGTCACTTCACTTAATAATGCCATTGTTACATATTAATAGATACTCTGTTGAAATGATAGTGCTTTAGTTTTGGAACTAAAAAATGACTTATCAGTTCCAGTCTAGGTTTGTAAATATAAATGTCTTTTGCATACTCACTCAGAAAAGTGCCCTTTCCCCCCAAAACTAATCTAAGTAATGCTTCTTTCTGTTAACAAAAATAGAAGTGTTTATGTTTAACTTGATAATCTCTGCCAAAATAGAAATCAGTGTTGTTAGATATCATATTTTATATGAGTTGAAATGTATTTTGAAGAAGTTTGAAAAATTTAATTTTATTAAATTCTCATAAGTGAAAAGTGGTAAATATCTTTGATAACAATATGTTCATGTCAAAAGGAGACATGACATTGCCTATTGACTGTCAGAAGTTTATCATTAGAAAATAATTTGTATTATAGAAAGATGAATATCTCATTTTGGTCTAATGAACCCCCAAAGATTTCTAAACACACTATTTCCACTTAATGTGATAATCTCATTTATAGACATTCTGAGTAGAGGCAAAATATCTTATTTGTCTGTCTTTCATTACTTAATTTGAACTCTTCATTTAACTTTAATGTTGCCCAATTTAAAAAAGGTTTATAGTTTTGCTTATGTGAGTATGTTACTGTGTCTTTTTGTGTCTGAAACATTTTTTTAATTGTAAGACTTAAAAGACACATATAATCAATAGAAAAGCAATTTATTTATAATAGAAAAAGAAAATTATTTATAAGAATTCTTAGAATTTTATAGTTTGGTTATAGTGGTAGTTGTTCTTGCCTTTATAAATATAAGGACTATTTAAGGTGAAAATAAACTTTGGAAAAAGTTAACCACAGAAATTAAATTAAACATACTTCTTTTAAATTATTTGACACTTTAGTTCTTATAAACATACACCTACTCTTTGTGATATAATTTAATTATTAGAGGTCTGTTTTTAATATTATTCACTTTGAATAATTCTTCTGAGAATTGTCTCTTAAAAATGGAATTATGGAAGTCTTAAAGTTTGATATTATCCCTTCATATATGAGCCTTAACTTTATTTCTGTGATAACACTGTTAAAGATACAGAACTTTCTTTAAGGCTGTCTGAAATTGTTACTGTAGCTTTTGTGTGTGTGTGTGTGTGTGTGTGTGTGTGTGTGTGTGTGTGTGTGTGTGTGTGTGTTTTGTCGGTCCTGGGGCCTGAACTCTGGGCTGGGCGCTGTCATTCAGCATTTCAGCTCAAGGCTAGTGCTCTACCATTTGAGCCATAGCGCCACTTCCACTTCTCGCCTTTTCTGCTTATGTGGTGCTGAGGAATCAAACCCAGGGCCTCATGCATGCAAGGCAAGCACTCTACCACTGAGCCACCTTCCCAGCCCTTAGCTTGTGGTTTTTAATAGAGTTATTGAAAACATTAGCTTCAATGTCATATTCCTGAAATATTTGGAGCCAACATGTTAAATTGAGTCTACTGACATGCTGTCATGCTTAATAGTCTTAATTAAAAAAATTTAATTGTTATTATAAAGGTTATATACAGAAAGCTTACAGTTATTGTAAGTCAGGTAAAAAGTACATTTTTTTTGGACATGCCTTTCCTTGCTCTCTCCCAGTTTTTCCCTCCCATCTCCACCCACAAGTTGTTTTGTTTATTTCAATGTAGTATCCAATGAGTACTATTGCTGCATTTGTTCATGCAGAAGTCTTAATTTTTAAATTAAAATTTGAATTTTAGTTGGTATGTAGCATAAACACATAAAATGTAATTTCTCTTTGCAATAAGTATATTTAATCATATACTTGACTAAGAGGGCAAAACTGTTAAGGATATGTTAATAGTTGAAAGAGATGAAATTCCTTTTTTTCAATTAGAAACAATCAGTCCATGTTAAATGCTGGGAGATAAGACAGTGTACTAGGGGTGATTGATTTTGTATTCTTAATGTTCTGCTTTGCTGCATATTTCCCACACATTCTTCATAAAACCTAGATTGGATTTATCATTATCACCCAGGAGTTTGGGTTAAAAATAAACTAAAACCCATATATAAAGTTGTAGTAACTTTAACAAATCATGTTTCTAATCAATGTGAGAGAAATATTTTATTCTTAGAAACTGGTTTGTGTCATGTAATATGAAACATTTATCTCAAATAGATGTGGACAATTTATTATTACTTTATGAATAGTTATTTGCCTGGCTGATGAGCTACATAAATTAAGCAGTAAATCAGTTTTGTTTCCTTTAGATTACTAGTAATTTACATATAACCTTTGGCTATTCTTTTATCTTAGGGTATTCATATAAGTTGCATGAAATTGTTTTCTATATAGAAAGTGCTTTGAAATGCAAAATATAATCAAAATGCATTATTATTTTAGGACAGTTGTGCTGCTAAAATAATATGATTGAGACTATGGTGAATATTTGAGGAGTCTGAATGGAGTGCACAAGGAAGCCAAATTACAACCTCTGTTAAGTCATCTACAGAGGCTTCTTTTTTTTTTTTAAATCAATCTGTTGAAATAAATGAAACTGTCAAAGTACTTAGAGCACTGCATTTTTTTACGCTAACTCTATTTAGAAATAATGCTATTGTTACTCTGTTATGCCAATTAGACTCTCTAGCCTTTTGTTTAAATGAAATTATTAGAAGAATAAATTCATAAAATACAGTGAAGTTAGTAGGTGATGTTGACTGAGGCTGTATGTGTTCTGCTCAGGGCTTTTAATGCAAGTCCTCTCAAGCTGTCCATGAACTCTGGATATCAGTATATTTATGGCCATTAATGATATACTTATTGGGTAATCCAACTCCAATTACTGGCAACATGATCCAATTTTAAGGAAAATGGTATCTTTATTTATCTAGCTAGATCATAATAAGCATATTTACGAAGAACCTCTTAGTTGCTTAATTGCTTAGCAAAAAATAATTTGTTTTGGTCAGTCGTGGGGCTTGAACTCTGGGCCTGGGACCTGTCCTTGAGCTCTTCAGCTCAAGACTAAGCCCTTTACCACTCTGAGCCACAGCATCACTTCTGGTTTTTGACTGGTTATTTGGAGATAAGAGTCTCATGGGCTTTCTTGCATGGTCTGGCTTTGAACTATGATCCTCATATTTCAGCCTCCTGAGTAGCTAGGATTATAAATATAAGCCACCAGTGCCCAGCTTAGCAAATACTTTTTAATCAAGTAAATAATATTAACTAAACAACTCTGATGGATTTAGTTTCAAAATGAAGGATTTCA